GAGTCCTCTGTGGGGGGAGAGTCCTCTGTAGGGGGAGAGTCCTCTGTGGGGGAGAGAGTCCTCTGTGGGGGGGAGTCCTCTGTGGGGAGAGAGTCCTCTGTGGGAGAGTCCTCTGTGGGGAGAGTCCTCTGTCGGGGAGAGTCCTCTGTTGGGGAGTCCTCTCTGGAGTTCTCTTGGGCCCGTGGCTCTTCACCGCCTGTCTCTATGCCCAGCCTCCAAGCCCAGGCTGAGGCAGCTGGCTGGGCCCTTCTTTCCGGCAGGTTCTCCATGGTGGTACAGGATGGCATAGTGAAGGCCCTGAATGTGGAACCAGATGGCACAGGCCTCACCTGCAGTCTGGCACCCAGCATCATCTCACAGCTCTGAGGCCCTGGGCCAGATCGCTTCCTCCACCTCTCCCTATCTCACCTGTCCAGCCCTGTGCCGGGGCCCTGCAGTTGGAATCTTGGCCAGATTTCTGCAATAAACACTTGCAGTTTGTGTCCATCTCCTTGGTTATGAATGGCTGTTTTGCTGAGTGCCAGGCATTCTGGCATCATCACAGACTGGGTGAGAGTGGTGAGGGTACAGATGGGCTGAAAGGGAGAATGTAGGGGGTCCTGGCTTAATTAAGGGGAAGCTAGGGAGGGCCTAGGTGTTTTTTTGTTTGTTTGTTTGTTTTTTGAGACAGTTTCACTCTGTCACCCAGGCTGGAGTGCAGTGGCATGATCTTGGCTTACCACAACCTCCGCCTCCCAAGTTCAAGCGATTTTCCTGCCTCAGACTCCTCAGTAGGTGGGATTACAGGTATCTGCCACCACGCCCGACTAAGTTTTTGTATTTTTGGTAGACGTAGGGTTTTACCATGTTGGCCAGGCTGGTCTCGAACTCCTGACCTCAGGTGATCACCTGCCTCCACCTCCCAAAGTTCTGGGATTACAGGTGTGAGCCACGGCACCCGGTCTCGAGGGAGGTGTTACTGAGCACTGAGAAGGAGCCAGCAATCTGAAGAGGAAGGGAAGCAGCGGTCCCCACAGAGGCAGCACAGAGGGCAAGGCC